CGTGAACCGACTTGTATCAAACCAAAGAAATTTGTTAATTTAACTGAACCCCAGCCATTTTGCCCTCAACTATCTGCACTGATTGGATCGCATCGTGGACTATTGGGTTTTCAGGGGACAAGAGTGTCGTGGTGTAATTGAATATCCATATATTTTCTTGACACTGTCATTGATGGATGTGTCCTTGGACGACCTCAAATGTTTTATTCTCCCTTAAGTGGTTGGGCAATTTCGGAAGCAGATGGGTGGGGCTAAGGAGTCAGCAGGTTGTGTAGCCAGAGCGCAAGCATAATAATAATAATAATAATAATTTGCTTTATTCCAGAAACAGTACTAGTGGTACAGTATGGAATTTTCAGCACATATCTACAATATTTGCATCTAATTTTACCGACATTTAAAATAAGTATTAAACAAATAAAAAATAAATCTGAAGACACCAACAGCAAAAACAAAAAAAAAAACAGGATAAACACAAAATAATTATGAATGCAAAAAAGTACCAAAGTCTACCAAGGTCTAGTGCAGTGTTTGTGGTGGTAGTGTGAGTAATCCTGAATAATACAAAATTTCTTTTTGAGGTGGTGACTATGGCCTTCACAAACAATGATTGTCAGTTTAATATTGCCGAAAAGTATAGAAAATAAGAGAAACAACCACAAAACTAATAATTACATGATGGTTAATGACACGACAATTTTGTAATACACATAGTGCTGATATAGTCGGAACCAGTGGATACACAATAGAAGGAATATAGTAAAGTACAAAAAAGGAAGCCAATGTTAATATTTCAGGTAGCTAAGTAAGTTTGAAGAAGGAGTTCACTAAAGAATACGAAATAAGAGAGAAATAAAAGAGTATGAATTTATGTTGTTAATAACAAAGCAAGTCACAGGTTTCACGCTTAACATTGTCTCTGTCGCTTAGAACACGGGCCAAGTATGGTATCGTTGAGTTCCTGTACTTGGTTGTACGAGCATAGATTCTTTTATACTGATTTCTGGTTTTACTTGATGAGATACAAGGCAAGAGTTGGGAATAGAGGGGGTGTTGGGGGTTTGAGAGTATGGTTTTAGACCATTTTTCACATGTATTCAGATGCCTATCAACTAAGGTAGTCACGAGCTGGCTGAGATTAACACCACTAGTCCTACTAATTACTGTCAACATCCTTCTCAGGATGGAATAGTCCTTTTTCAGTAGACCAGGAAAGACTAACGGGGAGCAGTAAAGTAAAATAGGTAGGATACAAGAGTTGACAAATTGTGAAAGTAGAGGTTGGGTGATTCCGGATTGTCTAAGTTTCCTAATGTAGTAGGTAAGACAGAACACTTTCCTAGAAATCATTAGGATATGAGATGTCCAAGTAAGGTCAGAAGATATAACTAGACCGAGGTATTTTGCATTAGACTTAGTTTCAATTTTTGTCCCCTCAATGCCACAGTCTTCATGAGAACTTACTAGTGTTTGTAGATCCCGTTTATGCCTAAGGGAGAAGTCGACAGTCTGGCATTTTGAGGGATTCAACATGAGTCCATTTAGTTTGGACCACTCACTGATGTCCGACAGGAAGCTATTTAATTTGAGACAGTCTGACTGAGACTTAATGGAAAACGATACAGACAGGTCATCTGCATATTTGACGAAGTTGACTTCATCTGAGAGAGGTAAATCATGTAAGAAGAAGGAAAAGAGAAACGGAGAAAGAACAGCACCCTGGGGAACTCCAGCTTCAGTAAGCAATGGAGAGGAAGATGCACCATTATATACCGTGTACTGCATCCTATTAGAGAAGTAAGAGTGCAGCCAGTTGATAACCCAGGGCTCAGTTTGTGCTAGGCTAAGCTTGTTTAACAATAGGCCTCTAGGTACAGAGTCGAAAGCAGATGTATAGTCAAGGAACGTACAACGGACAAACTTGGCCCCTTTGTCTAAGGAGGATACAATGTTGTGATGAAACACAGCGGCAGCGTCCAAAGTACTTTTACCCTGTTTGTAAGCAAACTGCTTTGGATCGTTTGAGAAGCTTAAGGAGGGAACAAGTTTTAGTAACAATAGTTTCTCCATTAGTTTCAAAAAAGGAGAGGTTATAGCAATAGGTCTGAACTTAGCATTATTACCAGAGCCTGACTTAGGTACAGGGATGATTTTAATATCTTTCCACAGAGAAGGTACAACATTATTAGAAAAAGAAGTATTACAAATGTTTGTAAGTGGGTTGCTTAAAATATCAGCACATTTCTTTAGGACAATGGCAGGTATACCATCAGGACCTAGACTCTGGGAAGGTTTAAGAGATTTTAAACATTTAAGAACATCAGAAGTTTTAAAGCTATTAAAGTCACTGGTCATGTTATTTGTTACATTGAAGCTAGAAGGTACATTGGGAAGGCGGATAAAAGATCTATTAAGAGTATTTACGTCAATAGAGGGAGAACAAGAACTATGCTTACCACAACCTGTAATTTCTTTGAAAAGCTTCCACATGTTCCCAGGAGTTTTACATGACAAAATTCTTTGATTATATATATTGTTTAACCTCTTGATTTCGGATTTGATTTGGATGTTTATTCTCCTAAGACCAGCTTTATCTTTAGCCTTGTACAGTCTCTCTTTTTCTCTCCGAAGCTTTTTGAGATGAGGAGAAGAGAAACGATCTATTCTTTTGAAAAGTATCTGTTTAGGACAGCATATATCAAGGCAGAATTTAAGATAGTCAGTCAGATTGGAAATAGTATCATCCAGAGTGTGTTCAGTGAAAAGTTCCCAGTTTGTGTCATTTAACATAAGTCTTAGTTTGAGCACGTTTTCTTGTGAGTAACATCTTTGTTGTGTTTTCCTGGAGAGATTCGAGAGGATATTAGAGTGATATCTGCTATATATCTTGGGTAATATCCGAATAATACAATGATCAGAGTTCATTATAGGAGCACGTCTGCGTGCTTCATATATTTCCGCATCATTAGTAAATACTAGATCCAGAGTTTTATCAAGTCGAGTTGGAAATTTGACAATGTTGACATGACCTAATGATTCAAGAAAAGAACAGTCACAGGTATTGAAATCTCCAGTGACAACTGATAAAGAGTTTTCAAGATGTGTAACCGCGAATGCTGTGAATTCATCGGCAAAATGAGATATATCCGAGGCGGAACATCCAGGAGTAGCATAAATGTTTGAGATGAAGACGTATTTAAACTTGGATAAGTGTTTAGGACGACATTTGACTGTAATACAATCAATAAAGTCACTAGAGAAAGAAAAACATACATTATTTGAAGTTGACCACTGAGAATGAATGAAGGTTGCGACTCCTCCACCTCTTTTCTTTCTAGAGCATATTCGATCTTGTCTAAACAATGTGAAACCATTTAGAGAAACCAGGTTGTCGTCATAAAGATCATGGAGCCAAGTTTCTTGTAATGTGACTATCGCAGTATTGTGATAAGTGTCAGATGATAAGAGAGACTGGAGATGCATAATTTTGTTGGGAAGTGAACGGCAGTTTGAACTGACAATAACAGGAATAGTTGTGCGATATAAAGGTGTCCGTTTGAGAGCACGTTGCCAACCACCATGATGTTTTCTCTTAGTTTTATTAGATGCATGAAAATCATATGGTTTAAAACATTTAATGAATTCATTACTGTATTTGATACGATTTGTGACCATATTTTGTTAAAATTAAAAATGGAAACATGATGTATTAGATGCAAATATGTAGATGTACAGAAAGGTAGCCCAGATGTCAAACAGGCCGCCATACAGCAACTATGGGAGTTGATTCTAGTTGAGGCCAAGTGGAAAGCCAGCTCAAAGTCGTTCAAGAAGTGCAGCTAGCTGTCTTCCTAGTGACTGACGCATATCGTAAAGGTATTTCTCAATTACAGGGAAGAATTCCCTAATGATGGGATAGCCACAAATATTCCTGTCACGTATATCCCACCCCATTTAACTTTCCTCTAATCTGAGGGGAAAGGTTAGAGTCTTGAGTAGACAAAACGTCCATCGGTGTAATGCTTACACATATCAGTACATAATGAAGTCACTCAGGTGACCTATTGCAGGGGCTCACTGGTTCTCAACGGGGAAAAGACGTTTGTAGTTTGTTTAGATGATAGGCGGTTAGAATCCCATATTAATTCGTCTATAGAATATGTCACCCAATGAACCAACCGGAAATTCAGACAAAAGAGGTGATTCAGCATCTGTCCAGAACAGCTAGAAAATTCTAATACTCCTACAGTGAATGGGTAGGAATAAAGAGAAATATAAAGCTGGGGATTGGAAGTTGTGTGATATGATTGTGAACAACAAATTATGCTGGAAACTTCATCCCGCAAATCATACTGTTTCACTGTATGATGTCCAACGAACAAATAATAAGTGAAATACATACTACCACAGTGCCCATTTTTTTACGCATATTAATAATTCCAGAGAGCCTGTCTTGTTTCCACTCTATGCTTTTAGACTACCAGGAACAATTCAGCTGTCATACCAAATCACTGAGTATTTTTAATTAATTCAAGTTACGGTGGTTATCCATGGTACTTCAGACTGACCCTTACCGACTAACAGAAGTTTACACAGTGATTCCTTAGGTAATTGTACAGGATAAATGTACTGCTGTTCGGGTTCGATACAAAAGCTAGATAACAATGAGGTGGAATAATGGCAGGAATAAGGAGTGTTAGTAGTCCCAGTCGGGAATAATAGATCCTTCTTAATTAACAAGAACCTGATAAAGCGTTTCTCAGAAACAGCAGCACTTCACTAAAGATGCATATAGCTGATTTTTATGAAAAAATATCTGAATGGTCTGAGTATCTGATTGGTTATACCAAAGGTGGTTGAATACATATTTATGGGAACTTGGGTATAATATAGCGTTTTTATTTAAATGTAGTTTGGTTTGTTGCATTTACCAAAAGTATTCGGCTTCTTTAGTTTTGTTTAGTTACCTTGTTGCTGCGAGGTTATTATGGTACTTTTATGAGGTAATTTAAAAGTGTTAACAATGGAAGGGGATATCATAGACTGGACCAAAGAGGTAGGTCTAGTAATAATCTATTTAAAAAGTATGGCGAGAAAGAGAAGGCTAGAAAAATGGAGGAAGAAGTGAGAAATGATTTGAAGACAGTAGACGGTTATGTACCTCAAAAGCCAGTATATGAGTTTCGGGATCAATTCACTTTAGAAAAATGCCCACCTCCTGATGCACCTAGTAAGATTCGAATTAAACTAATTTTGAGTATTTGATCTAGAAATCAGACAGGAGGACATTGAATTATACGCAAAAATAAGGTGATATTGTTTTAACACATGACCCTGTTTTGAAATTAACCAATAAATGACACTCATTTTAGAAAAGAAGTTGAACAAGAGTTCATGGTAAAGCCTTATCCTATGGACTACAGATCTGTAACAAAGTGTGATTTCTATAAATACACTGTCCCACAACCTCCTAGACCTGAGCCACGGGTAAGTGATATATTAAGTGCAGTTACTCTTTTACAGGTTTGTCATGTATATAGTTTTGAAACATTGAGGGTTCTGATAACTGGTCATCTAATTAACGTTTTCAGCTTTTATTTGCTTGTCTCACTAATAAGAAATTTCATTCATATAAAACCTTTAAAAAAGTTAGGTAGCCCCTTAAAAATAATTAAACAAATGTGCTTTGTGTTTTCACGTGCTTTAATTATTAATTCGTGGACTCATGTTCTGTCTTACTTTAAAAACATCTGGGATTCCGCTTAGTCAACTTCGTCACTACTTTGGATGTGAGGACTTTTTTCCCACGAATATTTATTTAAGATTTCTTACTATTAATAAAGCAATTTATCTTCAAGAATTCAATTCTGATGGAAGATTTATTGGAAACTGTGTGATGCACATTCAGTCTAACCTTTGAATTCGGGAGTCGGATTTGTGGGGAATTTATTAATTTCAATTAATCGAAAGGAACTTCCTGGAGTTTAAAAAGAAAATTTTGACCACTGGGGTCGATTGGGTAACAAATGTTAGTGAATTGAGTTGGCAGTATATTATGTGGAAGGAGTTAGGATTTATGGCCAGTTATAATTACTTTCACTATTATTGACATTATCATTACTGCTTTAGCTTCTGGGTGGAACATCTCCATTTCTCAACGATTGTTCATAAGCTCTCATCCTTTCATGTTACGGTCGAACACACCCAACTCGCCATTTCCCATTTGAATTCCACTACATGGCTTGGCGTGCGATGACACTCTTTGGTCTCTTCAGTGTGTCTCCAATCCATTTCTATTTCCTTCCACACAATTTTGTGGCGATAGTATGGCTGGTTTGCTGCCTGACAGAGTTTATTGCTGCTTACCCTTTCTAGCTGGCCATCCAATCTTCAATATGGAACGAAAACAGCCGTTAATAAAGGTTTGAAAACTGTTGGAAATTTTTTCGGCGATATGCCACGTCTCTAAACCACATAGAAGCATTGACTTGACACTAAATTTGAAAATCCGAATCTTGTTCTTATGCTGAATACAGTGGGTTTTAACACCGATTTCGGATTAGTGAAGCCTTGTCTCGCCTTTCCAATTTTCGTCTCGACAACCCCATCTTTGCCGCCTTTAGTTGAAATGGTGCTGACTAGATAAGTGGAGAATTGACTTCTTTCAAAAATCCCTCCTATTGATAGTGATTAGTGGTGGCGATTGTTGGTTGGTTATCTTCATCACCTGTGCCTTCTCTATGTTCTGTTCTCAATAGAAACTTGATGATCTCTCACAATAATGACTTAAAGACTTCTTTTACTTCCAAAGCATAATCTGCAAGGGACACACAGTTATATACTTTAACTCTTCCGGTTTTGTTATTTTCTACTTTTTCACTTCTCGACATGATTTCCTAGCATTTCGGTCACTTAATGGCATTCATATAGAGAATGTGGGGAAGATGTGGCATATCGACTTAAGCATTCGAATTCCAACTGGTGGGCATTGGATGTCGAATGCAGCTTCACCTACTCAATCCTGGGTAGTCGGGTAGTATTATCAACCTTCATGCAATAAGTGTGACTCATGATTGCGTCCCGACTCCTAAGTACAGCACCTGCTCATAATAGTTTTGTTATCAGTAGTATAGAGCACGTAGTCTTCAGAGAAACATCTGAAATTGTTTTCAACAGTTTTACAGCGATGAATTGTGTATCTCAAACCCTATTACCTTTAAATTCCTAAATGCTTATGTGTACGGCTTGAAATAGAGAACCAAGTTATATTTCTAAAGATGGATTAGAATGTTGAACTGTTTATTTTTCACTTCAGTCAAGTAGTAATGTTTTATAAATGAGATTAATATTGCCAGAATTAGGGTTTTAGTTCCAGCTACCGAGTCCGTTAGGAGTAGAACGATACTGAAATTCAATAGAAAACTCGACTGAATACCGAGTACGATGATTCTGCATCAAATACCTTCTGTTTCTTTGAGCCTACGGAATAAGATAGAAGACAAAACCGGCCGGTAACATTGAGAAAAACAACACTCACAAAATTAAGGCAGTCTCAGTGGTGAAATAACCAGTTCGATTGTTTTCACTTAGAATAACAGATTAAATATTGGGTAGCAGAATAAATTGTATCTGTGTGACAAACGTGTTGGGTTGAACTCAATTACAAAATATTATGAATTGCAAAACAGTGATGGTGATTAGTCATAACAGATACATGTAATGCTGGCGAAGGAAATTGAAAATAAGTTTTCGTCTCCTTTAGTGCTGATTTTAGTTTGAAATTAGAGGATGCAGCGGTAATAAAATGTGGTAATTTATAGTTCCTAACTAGGTGTTCTGTTAGATGCATTGTTGAGCTACCATTCGTTTTGGCTGCCTAATAACATGGGAGTTTAAGAGATCCTAGAGGTAGGCATCTACAGAACTGTTCAAAATTAAACTCCTCAAAGTTCTTAAGGTTCTGTTAGTCTTCATCGGTTTATTGTTTTGATATTTTTTCATTTACTTTGGTTTCAGTGCTTTTCTGATATCTAAAAATTAGGTGTATATCACAAAATTTAACTAATTTGCAACTGATGTTCAAGTTATATGGTGGAAATCTATGCTTTGCAAAAATGAGTAGTTATTCAGTCATGCAGTTCTGATATCAATAGCATTAATACTTGAAGTGACTTTAAATTATAAAGTGACTTTCTGCTCATGATTACTGGTTTTAAATTAAAGTGCCAATATTATTTTAAGTGTTTTTGAGGGCGTTTCTCGAAATTTGTAAAGAACTAATTAGGAAACAAAAGACAATTCAGAGAAGAAAGTTTTCTTTACCAAGGAAATTATCTTCAGAGGCTGTACAGTCGTATTTATATTTATTAAACACACGTACATTCACCAGTTATTAAGTAACGGGAGGTGACACAATTTATATAATTACTTAGAATCAGCTTCTAAAACAGAATAGAAAACGTAAAAAAATTACCTAATAGTCGATAGGACAATTGATGAAAGTGTGTGCTCACTTGAGAAGTGTGAACAGTGTGTGTAAAATATGCAAAATGAAATTGCATGAGTGATAATAGTGAATCAACTACCAAAAATAAAAGCTAAAGATTAGGGAAGAGATTAAGACCAAAGTAGAATAAAAGACTGAACGGACGTTTTCTGTACACTGATTGTGAGGTTATACCGACGAATCTCCAGCACTTCATATTAGATTGTTTATTAGATATATCACACAGTGAAACAGTATTATTATTTACTGGATGACGTTTCTAACACAATTTATTGTTCATAATCATATCAATTATAATCACACGACTTCGAAACTTGAATTTTATAGTTTTCTTTGTTCTCTCTTATTTGTTGTAGGGGTAGTAGAATTTTCCAGATGTCCGAATGGTCAGGTGCTGAATCATTTCTATTACACGTGTTTGCGGTTGATCCGATAAATAAAGCTTCCTTTTTCATTCTCCCTCTCCACTCTGTTAAATTACATTTTAAAACTGTCATCCTATCCCATTCTGTTTTATGGTCGTGTGTAATTGCATGTAGTGCTATAGCTGAACTATTCTCTAGATTTCTTATCTTATTTGGATCAACCAATCTAGATTTTGCTAGGTTTTTATGTTCGGCTAGTCTGACTGCCCCTGTTCTACTAGACCTATTTATCTGACCTGACAATCATTGCAGGGTATTAGATTTACTAAATTATTTTGTTTTATTGGCTCCACAAGATTGTTCCTTTAACTGACAAAGCTTGTTTCTAATTGAGTTTGTGGGTTTGAATGCCAGACACTTTTATTCCTGCATTGTTAAGAATTCTCTTCAAGGATTCCGAGGTTCCTTCTTTTTGTGGAAGTACTAGTGATGATTTATATTCCCTATTGTTAGTGTTGTCATTATCCTGGGCATGTTTGACATGATATAGTCATTAATATTTTTACCACTATCAGCACAATTATCATTATTTTCTTTTTAAATTTTCCTGCATACTTCCTGATTAATTTATCTGGTTAATTGTTAGGTTGTAAAGCTTAAGTACGTAAGTTTAAGTAATAGGACACAAAAACTAAGTAGTACCTAGGAAAAGCTAAAACAGGAAGTCAGGCATATAAGAGAAGCTTTGCTGAGAGCATCATTCATTTTCCTCTTTGGAAGATTAACTACTTATTATTTTTCAGTAGTCATCTGAAAATTTAAAAATTTTGAAACAGGTTGACGGCCACGCAAATGGTTGGCTTGATATTCACTTGTGTAACTATGTAGTCTACAGATTATTAATCAAAATCTGTCATTTAGGTGTACGATATGGTGGGTTGCCATTGGATATTTAGTGTTGAGATTCAGTCATCAGAAGCCCAAGACCTCGATTTTTTTCCTTGTCATCCATCGGTAGTGAAGAGCGAATTACGTCATTTAGCCGATTGATCACATTTCAGATCTTGTCGATAAGCGGTCAGTAAACACGATCAGGACTGAATAGTTGCACTAGATGCTACCGGGTGATTGATTCCCACGTATACATAAGGTCAGCAGTGCACTGAATAGATTAGTAGTAGGGTTAAAAATTTATGTGCAGAGATTGCTGCTACTGATTAATCTTACATTTGCTCATTAAATGAGTCATATTTTTCAATAGTTTTACCACTATTTCGTACGATTCATAAATATTTCCGATTAGTCTGTATTCATGTCAATCTGTCCAGTTTCTTATGGTCATTCAAACATTACCAATCTTTTGACTATGCAAACTTTACTGTCGACTACAATTCCCCATAGGTTTGTATAGTAAGCTAAAAACATCATAATTTGATAAAGGATATTTAAAATTCTACAGCATACTGATTATTCTACTGAAGAATTTTGTTTGGAGACGATTCGTTTCACTATTCCAACTTCACTGGTATTACTGCTCATCACTACATTCACATAAACATCATTTTCTTAATCTTCGTAACATAAACGCTGGTTAAAATGTTTCTCTTACTTTTTGACCAACCTCACGATTACTTGGGTCACAATATTATTATTATTATTACTGTTATTTTTATTCAAATCACTTAAGACTGATGTTTTTATTCCTCTTCATGCCTAACGGAACATAAAATTTCAAACTTCAGATTTAAAGTTTCTGTAGCAGTGGTGTTTCTTTTCAACGGCTTAAAGTTACTAGCTTCACAACCAACCTCCCGTCTTTCCTGGGCTTACTATCAGATGAGCGAGGTTTAAGAATGCGTTGATCTGTAATCGAACCGGTACCATGGGCGTGGTCAACGACTATCCTACCACTGAACTAATATATACGCATTAATATTCATTATTTATTTCACACACTAGCATAATCATTGATTTCACGCATCTGCGTGATTATTGATTTAAATTACTGAATTCCCAAGGTCGTTAATATTTTTAAAATGTGACATTGATTTTTCTAATTGTATAAATACGGAGTTGTTGTTTAACATTTTCGACTGTTGTTTGAGACAGTAAAAGCTCTCATATCAACGTCCAGTCTTCTCTTCTATTTGTCTTGCGTGCCCGGCGGTATTATTGTTGTTGCTGTTGACGTGCGATTAAGACAGATTAGCCAGCGCACTAGTTAGATTCGCTCGTAGTCTACAAGGTCCTCATATTCACATACATAACAAATTTGGCGACGGGTTTGCTGAAGATGGACCCACTGCGTTTAGAGAAACTAATGGAACAGCAGCTAAAATTGATGGAAATGCTTGCTGGTCTACAAATATCACGCTCTGCTGATTCATCTACAGCCAACGACAGCATTGGTAGCAGCATCTCAGAATTTGTTTATGATCCAGATGCGAACGTCACTTTTGACACTTGGTTTCGCAGATATGAAGACCTATTTCGAGTAGACTTTGCGGATAAGGATGATGCCTGGAAAGTACGGCTTCTACTTCGTAAATTGGGAGCAGATGAGCTAGATAAATACTGCAACTTAATTCTCCCACAGAAGCCCAGCGAAAGGTCATTCGATGAAACTGTCCATACCCTTCGTCATCAGTTCGGTGATCAGAGATCTTTATTCAACATTCGATATCATTGCATGAAACTATCTCTGAACGAAAATGATGATATCCATACTCAGTTGGGTATAGTCAATCGCACGTGTGAACGTTTCAAATTGAAATCGCTTTCAGAAGACCAGTTCAAGGTGTTGATTTTCATTTGTGGTTTGCAGTCTCCCAAATTTGCTGATATACGCACACGTCTATTAAATCGTCTGGAACAAGATCCACGAATGACTTTGAAAGACGTCGGTGAAGAATATCAGCGTTTAATCAACATTCACAACGATACCGTCTTGGTGCAGTCTGGCAGTCAAAATGCAGCAGAAGTGCATGCGGTGCATCCAGTACCGTCGACATCAACCGCACCGCGTCATCCTCAGCATAAACCACCATCAGCCTGCTGGCACTGTGGCTCCTGGCATTTTGCAAACTTGTGCCCATTCAAACAGCATAAATGCCGTCGATGCCATACTGTTGGTCACAAAGATGGCTACTGCAAACGCAACAACCGACGCAGATCTCATAGTCGACCCAAACGGCGCAACAAGCCTAAGTCTTTGGGTGTTACTGCCACATATCATATTAGTACTCCAGCACCTCGCAAATATATCAATCTGACGATTAATACACGGCCGGCACGCCTACAAATCGACACAGCATCCGATATTACAATAATATCAAAGAAATTATGGCAGAAGTTGGGATGCCCTACCATAGAGAAGACAAATCAAATAGCAATTAGTGCATGTGGTGGAAGACTTCGATTGAATGGAGAAATTAAATGCAGCGTTGGTTTTCGCGATAGTCATTTCGTCGGCACATGCTACATCAACAATTCAAACCTTGACCTCTTGGGTTTAGACTGGCTTGAGAAGCTGCACCTGTCAGAGATTCCGTTAAGCAGTGTATGCCAAACGATCGAAAGTATTGAACCCTCAACAAGAAAGCCAGAAATCAGAGACAGATATATTAAACCTAAGCCTATTAGAAAGAATGACGTGATTAATGAAACACCAACTTCGTCACTACGGACGCATTGCGGAACCGGTGGTCGACACCCGGTATTAGCAACCGGTTACCCATGTAAATACTAACCGGGCCCAGCTTTGTTAAACTTTGGTGATCAGACGGGAACCGGTCTTTTCAATGTGGTATGATCACTGGCACTTATGACTCAGAGGGATAACTTTTATAGGTTTCATAGTTTACATGGATAACATACTGATAGTACTTTCTGTGTACAATTCAAATGTAAACTAATTTTGGGGGGCAGAGGAATGACTGGCCAGCTATCATCACCATTTAAGTGGTATAATTTCATCAGTACACACTTAATTGTTGGGTACCATGTCTTCTCCTTTGTTCCTTAATGAGATGTTCTCATCTTCTAGATGCCATAAACAGGTTTAATTTTGTAGTCAGAGAGTGGTAGTTTTTAACTTCATCAACTGACTTCCTCCAGTTACATTTAGTATTACTATGAAGTCCATTGGTGGATGGTGGCTAGCGGTGGAATCCAGGATGCGCATTTCATCCTATTTGGGACTCGTCACTGGATGTGTCTGCATTCCGCAGTGAGTGATGATGTTCCCACCCAGCACTTCGGTTCAGTCAATCAACGGGAAAATCTAAATTGAATTAAATAATTAATAAGACCCGTTGCACACGAGCATGGCTATCGTGGCCCAAGTGATCTAGTAGATAACGCTTTGGCGTTTGGAACTATGGGCACTGGGTTTAAGCATTGGTGGGAACACCATCACTCCCTGGGGAATGCAGGTACATCCAGACGACGAGCCCCAAATAGGACGAAATGCGCATCCTGGATTCCACAGCTAGTCACCATCCACCAACTGACTTGAAGTTACATGACCAGACATTGTCGAAGCATCCGCACAAGCAGCCGACATGTCAACCTGAGACCGAGCACTTCAGTTCAATCAGTTGACGGAAAATCTAGATTGAATTAAATTATTAGTATTTACTGTTATTGGTGTACCATTTCCATAAATTTGAGAACATGTTTAGTTGATTATTTCACTCAGTCTTTTTCAAAAATCACCAATGTTTCATTTTTTGTTTCTATTCTTAAAGTTACGTGAAATGGTCCGAGAACAACCGGTTACATTTTGGACAGAGTACAGAGATAAAATGCATGTAAGTTAAATTGTTGCATTTTTTGCGCGATCCTTTGTTCTTTATTTGTTTTTATACAAAGTGATTAAATGACGTAACAGGTTTGCATTCTTCGAAAAAAAACTCTTCTTTTAGTTTCGTAAGTCTTAACTTCCTTGTTCAAGATTACTGGAGACTATTTAGGCCGCATAAACTGCTTAGTCCTGTTTTGTGGAGGTTTTGAAACCTTTTAACTAATTTGTTTCTTTCCTGCAAAACTAGTCGACAGTTAGTCATTGAGAAGTGATTGAATATTAACTTTATTCTATACATATCGCCTTTGGTCTTTTGATTATCTATGTTAATTTATTTAGGGGTTTCAAATTGGTTGACTTAATCTTCGTAGGTCACGTCAGTTTCAATCACTTATAAAGTAGTTTTCAGAAATCATGCACTGTATATTTATTCAACAAATTGATTATAGAGGTTGCATATTGTATTTCCATATAGGTATTTAAGCCTTAATAACACACTTTGAGATGATAGAAGCCTGCTAAGAGGACAAAACAAATCGAAGTTCTGAATCATTTTCTTCTTATCAGTAAATATATACATTATTAAATATTTTCAAGTACTGGGATTTTGTAGGGATTAAGTTTGATTGGTTACAGGATTTCATCATGAGCTGACATCGGTTAGAGAACCATTGGAAAACCTGCAAGGAGTAATGGACAGCTATTGCGTCCCATTTGCTTGGGACTCTTCAGTAGTAAGCACCCACCACAGAGGGCTCGAACCCAGGACCTTCTGGTTGCAAGGTAAGCTAGCTTGCAGATCAATAAACCACTGGGACCCGATCCAATGGACAGCCCATGAATTCTAACTTCTGCCAATTCATAACATAAACTGACCGCTAGCCAATAACTTCGGCGAGTTTTTTGTCCTCACATCCGACCTGCTGTTCCTTACTGGTCATGACTTCCTACTATAACCCCAGGTAACTCCCTACCTGAATAGGACCAGTCGCTAGTAAGCATCAGATGAATTTTCAATTATTGGTTTTTGCAGCGATTCAGTTTGATTGGTTGAAGGATTTCATCATGAGCTGAATGACATCAGTTAGAGAACCACTGAAAATTGAGCATTCATGAAGCAGTTGTGTACACTGGTTGAATCAGTAAAAGTTTATTTAACAGCCTGAAGTAAATAATATGGTTTATCTGACAGTAATCGGAAAGCATTGCAGCATAGTTGGCTGCACTGCTGTCAAATAGAAAGTGTGATAAGAAAGAAAGGCAAATCAATTAAAATTTGCACATGTATGATGCCATATATTACTGACTGACTGATATGACTGGTTGGAAACCACTCAGATCGAAGTTATCTATTCACTGGACATACGTTTCCTTAATTTTCAGCCAGGCCTATCAGTGGTGTGCCAGATTTTATACAGCTCGGGATCTCAGAGAGCCGAACCCATTCAAACCAGGGGAATTCGAACTTTGGACTTTTATCAACAGCTGCCTTTGTTGCATACTGAATATCAGATGACCGGTCAGAAAGGGTAAACAACAAGGAACTCTGTCAACGAAACAAACAAGAACCTTCTGCTCAATAAATACACCAAAGAAAGTGGAGGTGGATTTGACTCACGCTGAGGAGACCGCTGAGTGACATCACGCACCAGACAGAGCCTAGAGTAGAACTCGAATGAGAAACAACGAGTTGATCGTCCCCTAGTGGCCTGGGGGAGATTGTGTGGGGAAAAGATCAGAGCCTATGGGTAATCGTGGAGCCTGCCAAAGACAACTTCGGAAAACAGGATGAAGTGGAGATATGCTGTTGAAGCCCTATATTCCACTCGAAACTTAAGGGGATAAGAAGAATAATAGTTTGCCATAACTTCACTTTCCTTAATTTTTAGTTTATCTCTTCTGAATTTGAAATTAAGTGGACTCTTGATTAGAAATAGGATTTTGGCGATGTGTATCATGGAATCCTTAATTGCATGTTTTGAGTACTTATGGGGTGGTTTTAATATCAAGAGCAAATACATGTACAGAATATATGCTGTTTTGTTAGTGAAATTCACTTCTGTAGGCTTGTGATTCGCCGTCCGACTGTAGAATTTTACATGTTTATAAGGGTTTGAGTTAAATTTATAACAAAGGAAGCTTCGAAATGAAGAAGGAATCTTATTTGTGCCGAGTTGAATCTCCTGAAGTTTGAAGAATTTGTCTTTTTCTCAAATAAGTAAAATTCTTCAATAAATTTTCTGCAGAGTTCTTTTCATCACAAGCTTCGTTTGTCATTGCTATGTGCACTGACTGTTACAATATACTTTCTCATTTCAAGTTTTAAGGGACTTCTGATTTATCTTCAGTGATATTACATAAGTTATTCTATCATTAAAGTACCTGACTTTCTCACCTATTTCCATCAGTCTTTACAAACATACATATGTTGAAACTGCGAATATTTATTTAAATGTTTTACTTTATACTACTTAATTATAGTAAGTAGCTTATATTTTATTGATAATTTATGCAGACAGGCATAAATAAACAACCTCCTGATTGATATAAAATTTAAATGAAAGGTTTTATTAAATAAGTGCATTTTATATACCGCACTCAGTGACACATTATTGTATGACGCTTCGAGCATAAGAAATTTCTCATAGTCATATTTGGTTTCAAATCCTCTTGGTTTATTCGAAATGTCATCAATAAAACGTGATTTCAAAAACGTGATTTCAGTTAAGAAAAATCTTCATATATTTGGTTCCCTTGATAAATTTCGATAAAGAAAGGAAGACGAAATTTGCAGTATAAAATGATATCATCATTCCAATTCACAGGTTCTCATCAGCTGCAGACTACCTGAAATTACAATGGTTATATAGATGATAATAACATACTTGAATGTTTGAGTGGTAGTAGAGAAGAGATACTATAAAACTGACGTATCCAAAATGAAAGTATTACAGCTTTTAGTTTAAGTTTTCATCATCAATTTATACGCCTTTAAAGTTGAAAAGAGAGGGGAGGAGTAATTATTAATTAATTTTTTTAATTAATTTTTTCTGTTTTCTGTCTTACCCCTTCCCCCTCTTTTCAACTTTAAAAGCGTATAAATTGATGATGAAAACTTAAACTAAAATAATTGTAATGCTTTCATTTTGGATGCGTCAGTTTTACAGTATTTCTTCTCTACTACCACTTAAACATTAAAGTATGTTATTAGCACCTATATAACCAGTGTAATTTCAGGTAGTCTGCAGCTGATGAGAACCTGTGGAATTGAATGATGATATCATTTAATACTGCAAATTTCGTCTTCCTTTCTTTATAAGAAAAATCTCTTTGCGACTATTTCATTGTCGTAGCTCAATAGGGCAAATGTCATTGAGTTTATAATGATGTACTGATGAGATATATATCAGACAAACTCGTTTAATGTAGAATAATACTGTAACAAGATTTCCAAGTGCTGCTGTTTCAGAAATGAGGACAGTGTTAAGTGTTGATTTGCATAAAAAGCAGGGTTAGTGATGCAATGACACATTGTTTCATATGTTTGTTCTGTTAAAGTTTATGTTGGAATAATTAGGTGGATGGTGACTAGCAGTGGAATCTAGGATGAGCATTTCGTCCTATTTGGGACTCGTCAACCGAACATTTCGGTCCAATGAATCAACTGGGAAGATCAGAATTGAATTAAAAACAAATAATAACTGACACCAGTTGCACAAGATGTGGCTGTCGTGGCTCTAGTTCATAAAGCCTTGGCGTCTGAAACTATGGGTACTGGGTTCGAGGTCATGAGAAAAGACAAGAGCAAAGCTTAACCTTGAGGAACTCAACAACCAATCACAGCAGACTTAGCGTGGGCGGATACGATTTGCAGATATATCACTGGACTGCCTAAGAAACGGCAACAAAGAGATGACAGAATAACCTTCAGCAAGAAAACAACCAATCAGAAGACGTTACTTCTCTACCAACAATAACGCTAATAATAATGTACATAAAAATCTATAAATATCTGTTTATTTCCTCAATAAACAATCTGTCGCCTGGCCCTTATCTTCTGTCGTTACAATATGATGTACTCCTGGATGAAGAGAAAATGTCATGCCATTATGCATATTGTGTAAATTTATTGTGCATAATAAAGTTATTATTGTTGTTATTATTATTACTCTAAAGTAATTGTAGACAGACCATGAAATGATACCATGGGATAATATTTGTCTTACTGAAAATAGTTACACCCTAACGTTTGAAATAAAAAAGGGATTGTTTACACTACTTTTCTTCAAGATAATATTACTAATGTCTACCTATCTCACCCGATGAATGAATTACTCGTAAGGGGATAATAATTGTTTATGCAAATTTATGCACAATGCCTTTTTTAAAAATATACTTTACAATGTCGCATTTGTAAGCAGCTGAAATATAAAAATCAAGACGAAATGGATTCACATTCACACATTATTCTGCTCTTGAAGTAAACAAAACAAAGCGAAACAAATGCGTGTAGAATAAAATGATTAGTGTTCAATGCAAATGAGATTATGATGTCACCATTAAATTGAAGCAATAAAAAGCAATTTATATAAACAAAGTTGTGCACGCAATACACATTGATTCTGTTCAGAAACAAAATTAACAAAAAAAGGCATATTTGTCGTGTTCATTTGGTTGCATAAATGAAATTTTTATTTAAAAAAGAGAGAAAAACAACCATGTTACTGATGGTATTACCAGTTTAGATATATTTTATTTTCATTTTTATGGTATATGAGAATAAAATGTGTCTAGAGTAATCGTATTATTGTGATCAGTAAGAATTCATTTTATTATTTGTTTAAATTAACTATGTCTGGACTGGATTAAACTGGGTTTTAAACATCGAACGTTGAACAAAAGTATTTATCATTATTATTATTATGATTCCCTTAGGTTCCTCTTTAGCTAGCTCCACGATCTCCACCATGTAATCCCCGAAGCTACACTCAACTATTCGTTTCCCGTTGGGGTTCTACTCAACGGCGTGACTGGTCTCACCATTGTGTGTGTCCGATAAACCACCATTTCCATTCGGCAGAGTTTTTGACCAATAGGTTCTCAGTTGGGTCGTTGTCAGAGATTCTTTTATTGCTTATCCATTCTGGCCATTTAATCTTCAGCTTGAATAGAAGGTTTCCTGTTGGAAATGCCTTTGGTAATGCGCCAAGTATTTGAATCATGTAGAAGCAGTGACTTAACATTGCTGTTGAAAATCCGAATCTTGTTCTTTATATGTAGTGAGGTAGATTTCCAAAATGGTTTCAGATCGATGAAGATCTGTGTTGCTTTTCCGATCCTGACCGGTTTTGATGTCTTTCTCCGTGCCGCCTGTAGTTGAATCGATGATGCAATGATACGTGGAAGAAGTGACTTCCTTCGAATTTCTCCTGTTGTTGCACTTTTGTGCAACGGTTCAAATAACCACACTTCACGAAGCAGCAAACATAGAAGTAGGAAGATAGAGAAAGAGAGAAGACAAAGAGAAACATTAAGAAACTATTATAAACCGAAATATACGAGACGTAGCATACTTACATAGAAGAAAATGAGAATTCAATGAATCCAGAAGTGTTCACAAAGAGTGAATGAATGTATCTGTGCCATCGAGAACGATTTTCAACGGTGTCATCAGTAGTCTCAAGACTTTGGTTGTTAGCATCTCGATAACCCAAAAATTCTGCATTTTGCATATCTCTATATAACTCAGACTCAACAGTCATAGACTTTAAGGATGGATGGCATGTTTTGATTTGACCACGCCTAACTCTTTTCCAGTCATACAATCTGATTATTCAGGAAGAAACGCAAATCTCAAACTTTTCTTCATACATATACTTCCATGAAGGATCGGGAGATATATCTTTCATTTCCTGACAACAATAACAACAAATATACTGACGACCTGACTGTATCTTTGTCTGTCAAATGTCAAAGTGACTGCTCCAAACTAAATGGCTTTTTATCAGAAATCAGCCAGTGTTCCTAGGAAAAAGGTCTAACCTTAAACCCCTACAAATGCCAAACAGTCAATTTCACCTTTAGGCATAAATCTGACCTAAAGAAACTGGTTAGCACTCACGAGGTGTGCAACATAGATGACACTGAAATAGAAACCACGTCGGAAATTAAATACCTAGGCGTCATTCTATCTTCTGATCTCCCCCGGTCATCTCATATCTTGACGATTTCTAAGAAAATATTCCGTCTTACCTTCTACATCAAGAAGTTAAGACACTCTGGAATAAACCAACCCTTACTCCTACAATTCGTTAACTCTCGCATTCTGTCTATTATTCTCTATTGTTCCCCCTTAGTTTATCCCGGGTTACTGAAGAAAGACCATACCTTATTACGCAGGATGTTAAAGGTTGTCAGCACGGTAAGCGACGTGCCACTTAACCAGCTTGTTAATATTATGGTTGACAGGCACATGAACTCATGTGAAAAATGAGCTAAATCCATTTTATCTAACTCACACCACCCTCTTCATTCACAACTCTCCCCTTGTATCTCATCAGGCAGAACCAGAAGCCTATATAGGAAACTATATGCTCGCACTAGCAAGTACAAAAACTCAACCATACCCTACTTAGCTCGTGTTCTGTGCGATAAAGAAAGCATTAGGCGTGATACCTATAACTTATTAAATAGTCAGTAGAACAACTGGATCTCGTCTTTCCAACTCATATCATTTATAGGTACAACGTTTTCTTTCTTTCTTTTCCTTTTCTCTCTCTTTTTTTATGTACTGTTTAGTTTCTCTCTTCTTTACAAACTCTATTGAAACATTCTTCTTTTTTCTTTCACATTCTGTACATCTCGACCTTTTTGTTACCGCTTACACCAGTAAATATGATAGTATCTAATTTTCTAACACCTTCAAACACTGTTCAATTTTGGCTTTGCTACCGACATGCCAATATGTTTTTGTCATAATGAACTGAGATTACCCTTAATCTATGTAGAATTTTATTTATTGTTAATGTAGTAACTGGATTCAGTACTGTAGTAAAAATGCTGAGAATTCCATTCAGTATCACAAGTACTGTTTTAGAATAAAGCAAATTATTATTATTAAGCTACAGATAGAAAATTATTTGCCTGCATCTTTGAATTGTTGATTCAATATTGGAACTTCATACTTCAACAGATTGATGTTTTGTGTTGCTGGGTGTTATTTGAAAATAGCAGCAAAAACGCAACTCGAACAAAATCTCACAGATTAGATTTCTGTACAACCACACTCATCACCGACTTGTACTAAAACTAACTTTACAGACTAACGATAAATGCAGCTACTTATTTCCCCTTTCACAGTTAGTACTATTTGAATTGTTTAACCTCTTCCGGTGGAATAGCGGTTAGGACGCTCGCCCATCATGCACATGGTCCGGGGTTCGATCCCCTGCCGATGCCCACCTGATATCACTGGTCTGCCTGCTAAATTTGGGCTACCGATGTCACATGCTGAGAATTCTACTGTGTGGAATCAAGCTACAATAAAAAGATAAAATAAAATAAAAATAAAGTATAGGTAGAAAGCCAGGAAAAGAGAAATAGTTGAGTTTAAGACTGACAATTCCAATCCAAGAAGAACAACACTATCACCACTAGAACTTCAAAGCCTGAATCCCTATGTTCTACTTGGAATATTAAGAATGAAATAATTGTGAAGAAGCGGTTGGGGAAATTAGTACAGTTGTAACGACAGAAGACAAGGGCAAGGCAAAAGATTGTTTATTGAAAAAATCAAGAGATATTTTTATGTACATCATTGTCAGCGGAGAAGCAGCGTCTTTTGACTGGTTGTTTTCTTTCTGAAGGTTATTCTGTACTACTTGTAACCGTTTCTTAGAAAGTTAAGCCATTTATCTGCGAATCGTATCCGCCCACGTTAAGTCTGCTGTGATTGGTTGGTGAATTCCTCAAGGTTAAGCTTTTCTATTGTTTGTCTCATGACCCTGATTCGGGACGTAAACATTGACGTAAATTGTTGTCTACAGTTTTAGCTTGCAGACAGCTCTCACCACACAGCACATCACTCTTTCCCATGGCAACTGTACGAAATTTGATGGAATATGTACACCTAAATAACCTTTTGTATCCTTTTGATTTAGATCTAACTGTTTTATAATTTAAGTGTTATGTTGCAGTGTACTTAACACTCATGTGCATTTGTTCATTTTGTCATTTTATTTTAAAAATTCTACTATAGGGTAATACACATCACGGTGTAAATCGTGTCACACCATTTGGACGTAATGCTGCGTTTACAACACCAATTGATAAATACTTAAATAGTCGTATGCCTAGTGAAATGCAAGTGTATCCACGTTAAAGAGAGAAAAAAACACGAAACAATAACAGTAGTCATGTAACAGATAGGCAATATGAATACATTGTTTTATCATTCATATTATTCTCTTCTCAGTATGTAACTGCTTACTATATTATTGTTTTATTTAATTGTAATCTGAGAATGCAAAATAAAATGTATGGTTATATGCCTTAATTTGGATTTTATTGGGGTTAAAAATGTATGTAGTAATAATATTAACAACAACAGTGGAATGAATGATGCTTATTGTTATTCTTTTGTGAAGAAGTTATTGCTATCAGATAGTTTAAGACAGTCGGGAGGAAGGAAGCTTTGGAACTAGGTTTCGTCCTTGTTGGAACTTGCGAGCAAGGTGGAGTTGCAGTCTAGGATGAATTCATATCCCTCCTGGAAATACGTTACCACTAAGCTATTCGGCCTGGCAACTGAATTAAGGAGGACGCTAATGAGTACTTTGATTGGAAACTAGGCAGTAATTAATGTTTAAGGAGGATGATATAAGGACTTGTGGGAAATCATGAAGCCAGGCGAAAATAAAAAGATTCTTGAGAACGGTGTGAGGTAGAGATGAGCTGCAGAAAACCTGTGATCTACTCAGAACCCAAGGGAATAATAAAAAGTAATAATAGACTTCTGATCGGTTTACATGAGTAGATGCCAACCATTCATGTGAATCAGTAGTGCTGGCTGGCCAGGTCAAAGTGATACCGAAAATGAAATTTATTCAAGATTATGAGAATATGTATATATATATGTTTAAAGGATAACGTCTGAATATAATAGAATATCTCAGCAAGTGTGCAAACCGTATCAGTGTTACAAAGGTTATTGATATATAACTATCTGACCTGAAGGTTCTAATTTCTCAAAGCATAGTGCAAGTTCTATCTCCCTGGGGTTTTTGTGTTTGGAGATTCATGTTAACCTTAGTAATCATCGTTGAATATATGAACTAGTCCGTGAACCTTAGTTATCTAAGAGACTTTGATCAAAAGCAAATATCATAAGAAAAAAAGTAATTTCATCAGCGAGTATTTGTCCTCACACCCAACCTGCTGCACCCTACTGGTCACGACTTCTCACTAGAACACCAGGTAACTACCTAACTGAATAGGGCAAGTCGCCAGTGAGCATCTCATAGATATTCAAGTGTTGGTTTGTAGGGATTTGATTGGTTACAGGAATTTCATCATGAGGTGACATTAGTTAGAGAACCATTGGAAAACCTGGGAGTACTGGACAGCTATATCGTCCTAGTTTGGGACTCTTCAGCAGCACGCACCCACCACCTCAGTTCGAACCCAGGACCTTCTGGTTACAAGGCTAGCCAGCTCGTAGACCATTAAGCCACTGGGACCCGATCCAATGGCCCATGAATTCTAGCTTCTGCCAATTCACGACATAGCGCCACCGCTAGCCAATGTCTTCGGCGAGTATTTGTCCTCACACTCGACCTTCTAGTGAGAAGTCGTGACCAGTAGGGTGCAGAAGTAATTTCAGTTAATCAATCTACAGAAATTCGACTATCTCAAAACTGAAGCTGCAGAATAGTATTGATTTGTATCCAAAGTCTAATGAGATGTAAGCCGCCTTTTAGTTATGACTAATTTGTAAGGGAATAAACAGCTAAGTGAATTTTATATTTTCTACGCAATGAATATTCGATAGTAAGTGAAGAGAATGAGTGGGGTTGAGCACAGGGGTGTACCACTGCAAACAACATATTTTATGCTTATGCATTTCTGTATACAAGTCGATGGGAATTTGTAAGTCAGCACTAAAAGCAATATATTTGGGTGTGTGAGTTGATTTTTGTTTGTTTGTTGTTATTTGACAGTTGTTTTTGAGGCGTTTGTCAGTGGTGTGTTGTGGATGTAGAGGCAGTGACCTTGGGGTTCGGTGGTGTAGTGGTTATCATGTCTGCTTTACACGCAGAAGGTCCCCGATTCGAACCCGGGCCGAACCAGGCTTTTGTTCTACTCAGCCTGTCCACCCACACCACCAACTCACGTCGCCTTCCTCACTAGACGTAAGGTGATGCGACACTGCCAGCAGTGCATAATCGCCTCACGCGTCAGCGACATCCACGTCCGTCGTAGTGACAACGAGTAGGTCGAAGTGTCGAGGGCTCTCTACAGTCGGTCTCGCCTCTCTAGACTTCCACTACGAATCATGAAACCACAATTGATCAGTACTCCATCCCCTTCAACACTGAACACCTCAATCTCAACGTGTGCAGCAGATAAGTGGACTCGTCCACCTCTCTTCCTCAACACAGATTAATCAGTCAGTGAATAGACCAGCTCACTCCACCCCTCAGCAACTCCACACATTCAACTGTCATCAGCATGCAACACCACTGCTAATATTCACAAACACCAAAACTCTCATGTCTCACTCATCATGACCAACAGACACGGCCTTATCTATGTCACCTGTCAGTATTCATTCACACAATCTCTCGAAACAACCAATGGAAATCCACACACACATTGTCAAGATGACTGAGTCAAGCTGTCGTGTGGACTCCTCCCAGCATCACTGAAAACACTTGTACACCTCAGTTGACATGATCGACTCTGCGTCTATCTCACTCTCCACATGTACTCATCACTCGTAGGAGAAACACTGATTGGGGAATTGAATTGATCGTGTGTTCTTGTGTGTGTGTGTGTGTGTGTCTGGCTGTCTGTCTGCCTGACTGCCTGTGTGCCTGTCTGTGTGTGTGAGTGTGTGTGCTTGTGTTTGCGTGTGTGCGTGTGTGTGTTTCTGTGTGCATTAGTGAGTGGGTGGGTGTTCCTGTGTCGGAAATGCTTGTCCATCTATGCACTCACCCGTTCCTCAATCATACGATCCGTCAGTGTGATTGGTGGCGGAAATTTTGATTGGCGGCTATGCCGTCTATGGTTGTTTGTCCGGAAAACTGATAGATTGACTGTCTCTCTGAATGACTTTTCTCACATGGAGACAGGATTCAGTGTTCTTGAGAGTTTGGCTTGACGAGATTGTCAGTGTGGAGTGATTTTCTGTCAAGAGACAGCGAGACAGCGTGCGCGCGCGTGCGAGATAGAGATAGAGAGAGGGAGAGAGAGTGAGAGAGAAAGAGAGGGAGACAGACAGACAGGGAGAGAGAGAGAGAGAGGGAGAGGGGGAGACGCACACAGAGACACACGGATGGAGACACACAAACACACAGACACAGACACTGGCGAATGGCGATTGCAGTGTGTGTTGTCTTGTCGAGTATTGAGTGATGCACATGACCGACAAGATGTGGGCAGCACACTCCTCTTGTGAATCAGTCTCGCCATCGTCACAGGTAATTCGAGATGGAAGAGACTGTCTCACCAGTGGAGTGAAGATTGAGCAGGCTGGATGATTGATTCTGGTGATCGAGCGATCTGACTTCGCCGATACTCTTGGTGATCAGTGGTTGACTATGGACAGGCATTGAATTTCTGCGTCTGTGTGCAGATTGACGTGTGTAGCTGTAGATGATGCTTGTTGATGAGTGTGATGGGTGTGTGAGTTGATTTTTGTTTGTTTGTTGTTATTTGACAGTTGTTTTTGAGGCGTTTGTCAGTGGTGTGTTGTGGATGTAGAGGCGGTGACCTTGGGGTTCGGTGGTGTAGTGGTTATCATGTCTGCTTTACACGCAGAAGGTCCCCGGTTCGAACCCGGGCCGAACCAGGATTTTGTTCTACTCAGCCTGTCCACCCACACCACCAACTCACGTCGCCTTCCTCACTAGACGTAAGGTGATGCGACACTGCCAGCAGTGCATAATCACCTCACGCCTCAGCGACATCCACATCCGTCGTAGTGACAACGAGTAGGTCGAAGTGTCGAGGGCTATCTACAGTCGGTCTCGCCTCTCTAGACTTACACTACGAATCCTGAAACCACAATTGATCACTGCTCCATACCCTTCAACACTGAACACCTCAATCTCAACGTGTCCAGCAGATAAGTGGACTCGTACACCTCTCTTCCTCAACACTGATTAATCAGTCAGTGAATAGACCAGCTCACTCCACCCCTCAGCAACTCCACTCATTCAACTACTATCAATCAGCACGGAACACCACTGCTAATATTCACAAACACCAAAACTCTCATGTCTCATTCATCATGACCAACAGACACGGCCTTATCTATGTCACCTATCAGTATTCATTCACACAATCTCTCGAAACAACCAATGGAAATCCACACACACATTGTCAAGACGACTGAGTCAAGCTGTCGTGTGGACTCCTCCCAGCATCACTAAGAACACTTGTACACCTCAGTTGACATGATCGACTCTGCGTCTATCTCACTCTCCACATGTACTCATCACTCGTAGGAGAAACACTGATTGGAGAATTGAATTGATCCTGTGTTCTTGTGTCTGTGTGTGTGTGTGGCTGTCTGTCTGTCTGACTGCCTGTGTGCCTGTCTGTGTGTGTTTCTCAGTGTGTGTGTGTGAGTGTATGTGCTTGTGTTTGTGTGTGTGCGTGTGTGTTTCTGTGTGCATTAGTGAGTGGGTGGGTGTTCCTGTGTCGGAAATGCTTGTCCATCTATGCACTCGCCCGTTCCTCAATCACACGATCCGTCAGTGTGATTGGTGGCGGAAATTTTGATTGGCGGCTATGCCGTCTATGGTTGATTGTCCGGAAAACTGATAGATTGACTGTCTCTCTGAATGACTTTTCTCACATGGAGACAGGATTCAGTGTTCTTGAGAGTTTGGCTTGACGAGATTGTCAGTGTGGAGTGATTTTCTGTCAAGAGACAGCGAGACAGCGTGCGCGCGCGTGCGAGATAGAGATAGAGAGAGTGAGAGAGAAGTAGAGAGAGAGAGAGAGACAGACAGACAGACAGGGAGAGAGAGAGAGAGAGAGGGAGAGGGGGAGACGCACACAGAGACACACGGATGGAGACACACAAACACACAGACACAGACACTGGCGAATGACGATTGCAGTGTGTGTTGTCTTGTCGAGCATTGAGTGGTGCACATGACCGACAAGATGTGGGCAGCACACTCCTCTTGTGAATCAGTCTCGCCATCGTCACAGGTAATTCGAGATGGAAGAGACTGTCTCACCAGTCGAGTGAAGATTGAGCAGGCTGGATGATTGATTCTGGTGATCGA